CGCCAAAGCGAAGCCAACACCACCACAGCGAAAGTAGATGCAGCGGAGGAGATCAGCAACACCCAAGCACCCACACGAATCAGCCTGAGTCGGGGACTGGACGATGGCGACATGGACACGGGATCCGCCATGAAATCAGCAGCCCACCAGCCATCGGCATCCCCAGCCGAGTATGGCAACAGCGCCACGGAGGAGTCACGCGATGGGTCGCTCGATGATCTGGCGGACTCTTTTGGGCCGGATCCCGTCACCGAGGATCCGCCGCCAGCAAAGAAGAAGAACGGCTTCTACTTCCTGGCCGATTGGAAGTCCTTCCTCGAGGTCGGCGACGGCGACGATCAGGTGGTGGTGTGCCAGAGTCCCAAGATTGGCGATCCACGCCTCTTTCTGCCCGTCAAGATCCCCTAGACAACAAAAAACAAAAATCAACTAAATAAAAAAATATATGTACATATGTGTCCCCTCCTGTTCCTCCCTTCCACACCCCAAATTATCGTTATCGTAATCGTTATCGTACGTATTCGTGTGTGTATTTATTGTAGTCACTGTCTCTCGTTCTCTGCTACATTGTCGGGACACAGATCAGAGTGGTGCATCCAGATCCAGAACCGCACTGCTGGGGCCCGGATATCTATACAATCCGTCTCCTGCCATTGCACAGTGGTCGATTCTGCCTATCTGGCAGGCAATAAATCAAAAATTAAAATGTCGAATCTTGTTAATTTTTTTTACTTTTTGGAAAGTAAACCTCCCACTGATATTTATTGCGATATTTATATATTTTTCGTATCGATAGTCCAGTACCTGCACGCGGTTGAATCGCAGCAAACTTTTCTGTCCATACCTAAGTACATTTTACCGCCTTTTTATTGCTTTTGGTAAAGCAAAACAAATCTTAATGTTTTGCGAATTGTATTTAAATTACCATCCATTTTGATCATAGTTGGTAAGTATTCAACAAAATATATATATGTGTTGGTCCCGTGCTTGCATGTATTAGAGGTAAATCGTTGTAGAACTTAACATTTCCTTTAGTGTGCTATTAATATCATACCCGACACTTGCATGGAATAGATCTTTTGACATTCGCCCCCTTCCGCCTTCAATCTTTTTTTATTTATGAAACCAGTATTTTTTAATCTTCTGTGTTAAAACAAATTGCAACTACGTGCAACACGTTAATTTATTTGATTTTATAGGGAAAATGGCAGTGTCAAAAAACACGCTTTTCGCGATGTTTCGTAAAAAACTGAGTAAGAAAAAAAGCTGAAGCGAGTTGGATCAATGTTTTCGCTCAAATAATTGATAATTGATAAAAACAAACTCAGCGAAACTGATTGTTAGCGAATAAAAAAAAATTAATTAATTTTTCCTCTGAGTGAAGTGTGCAGCAGAAATTTAAAATACTTCAAAAAACAGACCATAAGTTTTAATTTTGACCTATACTTTTTTTGCGTTAATATAAAGTGTTTATAAAAACATTTTAAAATATTTTGAAATAAAAAAAAATTATTTTTTTTTTAAATTTATTTTTAATAGTTTTTAAGTTAAAAAATACAAACTTTAAAATTTATTTAAATACTCCGCGGATTTATATTCCAAAATACAAAAATATTTTTAAAAATGTTACTCATTTATTTTTTGAGTTATTAATTATTGCCTGCCAGATTGGCAGAATCGACCACTGTGCATTGGGCGCGTTTAATTTTGGTTTCAAAAACAGTGCAAATACAAAATATAATAACAATTGTGAATTTGAATCGCTCAAAATCGCTTGTGTAGATAATGGATAAGTTTCATTTCTATGAACGACGTCTGCCATCCGCTGGCATGTGCTTCACGGACTGCCTGGGATGCATATGGGTCTCCTGCAGCTCCTGGTAGCTCGCCCGTATATTTGAATTCACACTTTCGAGTAGCTCTTTGGCCTTGGCTTGCACAAGCCCACGCTTCTCAAGTTCAGTGTTAATTTTGAGCGCCACCTGGAGTCCCTTAGCATGGATATCCATGCGGCTGATCATAATTTTCATGTCAGCCACTTTGTCGGTCAGCTTCTCGTTCATCAAACGATATTTCTCAACCGTTTGCTTACTCTCCACGAGTTCGTTTTGAATATCCAGACAGAATGCCTTCAATTCGTCCTTGCCCTTTGATTTGCTCTTGTAAAACGACTCCTGTAGATCCCCATTTCAGTCGAAAGCTTCTCATTGGCAGCATTCAGAGTCTCGCAAGTTGTTTGCATCTGCGTGAGCTCCGCCTGCAGTTCGTTGTTTTTCTGCAACACCTCGGCGTTGTCATCAAAGAAATGCTTCTTGTAGAACTTCAGCTCTTCCTTAAGCGCGGCATTTTCCGCGCTCAGATTCTGATTCATTTCATTGATCACTGATGGCGGTGCTGGTGAAGGTGCCGATGCCATGGAAGCGGCATCAAGCTCTAATTTTTCGTTGCGCTGTTGCAACTCCTGAATAACGGCTTGGTTCCGATCGAGCTCGGTTTTGAGGGCCGTACACAACCTTTTGTATTTCTGAATGTTGCCGGGCACATCCCCTCCTCCACCGGGCTTCATCAAGTCCTCGGAACGTTCCTCGTAGAACTGCTCCCTGGTATAATCCAATTCCAGCAGATAATACTGATTCTCAACGGCCAGGCTGCGGCAGTTGGCGTTCGCCTCCTCGAGACTCTTTTTGCAGTCCTCCAGCTCTTGGCGCAGATCGCTGGTCAGCTTCTTCTCCTCCAACAGCTGCTGCCTGTCGGCGGCCCGCTTGGCCAAATTACTTTTCACCAAGAACACATTGTTCAGCTGGACATAGCGATCGACAATTCCATTGAGGAAGCCTTTCGGGTCCTTCTTGAATTGCTCCACAAAGTTCCAATCCTTCACATTCTTCAGCTGCATCTCAACCGAGTCGTCCGAATCTGTTGGCTCATTCAACGCGCCAGACACTGCTTTGCTCTCCCCATGCGATACGGATGAGGATACTTCCTCCTGCACGACGCTGGTCGCTGGCGATGCATCGGACGCGTATGCCGCAATCTCGCAGTCCAGCAATCCCTCCGTCAGATCCGGGGGCATAGCTGCACATGATTCGCATGAATCGCAGCTAAACATGCAGCCGGCCTCATCCCCCGAATCCATGATTGAAGAGCTTTCGACTAAAAGTAAATATAAATATAATATAATATATTATAAATATAAATCAAATCACTGCTTTCTTGTGTTGGCGACGATTATCGCCAGACCAGTGTATTTTTATACGCCTAAAAAATAAATAATTTTGTTTACTTTCGTTAAATATTTGTTTGTTGTTTTCATTTAGTTTGAATGAATTTCAATATGAATTACAGCTCTTATTTTGGGAAGTGATCAATGGGATCTTACCTAGATGTTTTGTCTGATTGTAAAATCTAAGAAACCTGTTTCAAACATTCACACATCCAAAACACATTTCAAGTGCGCGCCAAAGTAGCACCTGACTATCGATAGTCAACTGAATCATCGGAGTCAGTTTTGGTTCATTTGAGCTGGGAACTTGGATCACTCGGTATTATAGTAATATTAAAACTAATATCAAAATGGAGGAATATCAATGCATATGTTCGTGTCAGTCAGTATATGTACGGTATATTTTGATAAAGACAAGGTATATTTCGCTATATTTCTGAGGGTCAAGCGGGTATATTTTATCAATAATTCCGCGGTCACACTGACCAGCATTTTTGCGGCCGTTGGGGCGCCCAAACATAAAAACTTAAGCGCGCGTTTAAATCCATAGCCAAGCATCGAAAAGTGCAATTGAAATGGCTCTGTGCCACTGTTTAATCTAATAAAAGTAATTTGGCGCGGTCGCCCATCAGCCGGGGAGTTGGAGTCGCCCGGTGGCCCCACGCCCCTCTCGTTGGCGCCTGCAGCAGCCCCCACCGTTAACCAAATTAGGGCGTGTGTTGAAATTTTGTCAAGGAGCTTAGGAAACCAAAAAACAAACACATTGAGAGAGAGGAGTCTCGACGAAACGAACGAGTGAGAGTGCAGTAAGTGTTATCCTGTGTGAAGGGCTGGGGAGTGGTGAAACGGTTGGGACAATTACAATTTGGTGGTTTTTTTTTGTTTGTGTTGTGCTCTCCATCTCCCTATTGCTGTTCCTCCGTTATCTCCACGCAACTCCTGCATGTCCGTGTGCGTGCTTGTGTGTGAAATCAATAAATAAAATCAATAACAGTGTGTGAGTGTGTGTGTGCAGCAGCCGGGCACGCTCGCTCTCTCTTTAGCGTTGCTGCTGCTGCCCAAAAATTTTGCGTGCGTGCTGCATGGGCCATGGTGGAGAGGAATGAGGACTGGGCTTGTTCTAAAATACTCTCGCGTGTTTAATTACTTAGTTTAAAATGTGTGCTAATGAAACTCCTTCCTCTCGCTGCCTGCCATTGCCCAACACCATCATAATACCGTCCCACCACTAACGGGAGCGTCCCAGCAGAGCAAGCATCGCGACGCCGGCAGCGCAGTCCTAACGGCGCCCTGCAAATGTTTTTGTAGATAAAAAAAACAACAAACGAAACACAAGGAAACGACAGAATTCGCAAAAAAACAAACGAAGCCAGGGAAAGAGAGAGAGAAAGAGACAGGGAGAGGGCCGCGATCCAGCAGATCTGTAGTGTCACGGGCTCTTGCAAAACACCCCTCTTGCCCCTCTCTCGACAGTCCCCTGTACACTCGGCCACCATTAATAACCCTTTTAAAACTCTTTTCGGGTTTTGCGTTTTTGTTCTTCGTTCCGCTTCCACTAGGGTTCCCCTCTTGTTCACTTTCTGAATGACTCACGTCATAAGCGTGACGCACCCCATCCCGATCCCCTACAGAGAGCTTCATCGGGATAAGTGCGTCCTTGACAGGACGGGAAGCCGCGAGATATAAATCTGTCGAGTGTGAGGGTGAGGGGCCTGGTGCCGATGAGCTCATCAACAACAACAACAACAACAACAAATGCAATCAAATCCAAACATACCCGTTGTCTTATTTTGGGCTCGTCCCTAACCAATAGGCGCGTTGTTCCTTCTATACGTCAGAGCCGTCCAGGCAATCCAATCTCACTTCGCAGTATCCTTATGTGAAACGGTAAGCGCGTTGTACTTGAGTTCTCCTTCTTGAGTTATTTTTGCTGGTACCGGATGAAAAAATATTATTATTGTTTTGTAAATTTTGCTGTTGTTTTAGTAGAAATAAAATAAAAATTTCGATATGAAGTTGACGCTCTGAAAAATCTGTATTAAATGATTTGATCTCTGAAACTAAATTGGAAACTAAATGTATAGTCACAGGGCACTTCGTTTCGATTAAATCTTCATAAAATTCGTCGCATGGCACGACATTGAACTTGACATTGAACTCGGCTTAGGATTGCCTGTTCTGCGCTGCCCAGCTACTGGTCTTGGGCTTCTGCTTGTGGTCAGGGTGCGGTGCGGTGTGTAAGATCACAAGGTGGGTTTTATTTAGTTGAATTTTTTTAAGAAAATCAAGAGTGCGTCTCCTTCAATACAAAAGTTCTTGGTCTCTTGATCTGGGTGTCAAGAGAATGGGAAGGAAACTATTGTAGGGAGCATCGTTACAGCATTTCCCACTGCTCTCTCTGGTCTGTTGCCTTTGGACGGTGCGAGTAGGTGTGTAGGGTATACAAATTTCCTCTAGCCGAGACCAGCTGCAGCCGGTCTTTCCTTGCCTCTCCCTGCTATTCTCTTGGTTCCTGCTGAGAGTGGGGAACGGGATCGAAGGCGGATTGTCCGCCTACTCGAAAAAAAAACAACAACAAAATAATACAAAAACAACAAAAGTCGCGCAGCATGCGGAGGAAGCAGCAGAAGACAAAAGTCGCTGGCCTTTTTGGGGGCTGCGCCTGCGCATAAAATTTCTCTGCGTCGCTGCTTCTGCCTGAAGGCGGCGCGTGCGTCGCGTTACGCTCCGCTGCCAAAGAGAAGACGACAGGAAAAAAGGCAGCAGGCAGAAGCAAAGGCAGGAGAGGAAATACGAGGGCGAAGTGAAGGCTAGAAGGAGGCCGAAGGCGAAATAAATGTAACGCATCGGATTGCGGGATACCCCGTACCTTAGCAATGGGCAATGGGGTATATTTGTTTAAAGTATTGCTTGTAGATTTTTTTTTCCCCACTTGATATTTTCCACTTTTAAGACTTTATTTTCTTATTTTCATTTTAGCTTAAGCTAAAAGGGTACATCTGCTAAATTTTGCACTGCCTCTGCTCATGCTTGTCTCCGCTCTCTCAAACTGTTTAAGTGACCAAACGGTCGTTGTCATTGCTTGTTATCTTTGTCCCTGTCCCTCACATTCCTCTCTCTATTCGTAAAAGTTTTTTGCTCCAAATCTGCGTAATCTGCGATAAAACAACTCTCGCTCGTAAATTGAATTCAATTGAAATCGGAATTGTGTGTTAAACAGATTTGATTAATTGTGCATTCTCCTCCCGCCCGACCCCGTGTCTACCCACACCCATCCAGCCCTTCTCTTGGTGTTCTCAGATTTCGCGGTTTCTGCGGTTTGCGTCTCCCTAGGAAAGAAAAAAAAAACACTTAAATTTTCACATATGCGCAATATTTGCTCCACTGTTTGCCTCAAATACTTTTCTGGTTTTCCAGAAGTTCCAGCGAATTGCAGGCCCAGCAACATTCGATCGCAGGTCTTTGCGTTCAGCATTCCAGCATAGCACTCGATTTCGTATAAGGGGAATGTCGATCGATTGGCTCTCTCCAGCGACTCTCAGGCGGCAGCAATTGATTTCAGTTATCGTGGCATATTGTTCGATAGAACTCTCCGGGGGTGTCTCGGAAAGAGACGTAATCTGATGGAACCATCCGAAATGGGGATGGGGATGGATGGGGAACCATCCATTAAGGGAAAGCAGCTCTCATTTTGTGCGTTTTTTTTTGTACATTTTGAACAATTTAATATATGTATTATAAGTTCTTTCTTAATTAAGGCCGCACGTGCCCAGGGGCGCATGTCGCTTACACTCCACTTCGGTGGCATCTATTATAGAAAAAAACTGAAAGATGAAAGAAGTTGGGATGGAAATGTGCACATAAATCACACAGAAATAGAGAAGAAATAGAGTGAGAAAGAGAGGAGTGCAGAGTGCAGTGTAGTATTAAAGTGAAATCGATATAATTTTCAACGAAACGATCGACAGACATTCGATTTTCACGGTGCTGCTGCTCCCCCTGACTGCCTGGTATTCCCTTCTTTTCTTTTCTACATTTTTCCCATCTCAATTGTCAAAAGCAGGAAGAAAACTAAATATAAATCCAAGTCCAGGGCCATGCCATGCGATGCCGCCATATGTGGGTTGAGGCATTAAGCCAAAGGAAGAGCAAGAAGCAGGGGCAGCAGGGCCACGCTCTACATATATGGACAGGCTCTTGCGGAGGCCGATGCCAATCCAGAGACAGATGCCGCCGCGCTGCCTGTCGATCTCTGGTATCAGAGAGCGAGAGAGAAGAGAGATCGAAAAGAGCGGAGTGGAGTGGAGAGCGGTACAAGATGTCCATTAAATTATTGCTACGATCTATTAGCAGGCGAGGACAAGGGAGGATCCACTGGGATGGTATGGTATGGCATGGGATGGGATGGATGCATCCAAGTGCGTCGGGGATCTTAAAATAGACATCCGAGTGGTGTCCCCTACGCTTCCCCCTCTCTAGACCACCAGCTGCTGCTGCTGGAATCCCGTCATCTCTGTCTGGCGTTGAAAGGGTAAGCGTCAATCGCTTAAAACATTAAAATGTGTAGGCCGATTCTCAATACCGGATCCGAATGGATGCACAGTGAGAGCTCCTCTCGAGTGAGAACTTGGCCATGATCCCCTACCAGCTATTCAAGGGTATCTGACAGTGGATCTCTCATAGATTTTCAAGGGCAAATCCGCCGCAACATCCGCCCATGACCATTTTTTGTATTATTTGTACCAATGATCAATGGATAAATTTTGGATATTTGGAATTAGAATCCCTTGATTATGGATCTATGAACGATAAATATTAATTTAATAAATTTTTGCATCGAATTACGAATCGACTTCGGCTGGTGGGGCTCTCTTTTTGGCGTCATGGCTTTTACTCATTTCGCATTTTCGCATTCGAATGTTATACAACCTTCGTGGACTGCGATTCTCGCTTTATCGGATCTGCAAATATTTTCGCAAGTGCGAGAGAGATGGCGAGAGGCAGGAGGAGGCATGGTTTAGGGGCAGGGGCAGGGGCGCAGGGTGGTGCGATGCTATGCGCAATCTTATGGCATGGGGCAAATGTTTGAGCTTCCAGCAACGTGAGAGATGTTGACAACATTTCTCATTTGGCTGGCGGTTGGCTCTCCTGGCATTTGGCACCAGGAATCCCAGGCCAGGCCCCCCCTAGCCCGTGTTTTTGCTTTTGGCTCCCTCCCCCTGATGCCCAGCGACTGTTAGGCGATGCCTGGGGGGACTGTTGACTAACTGTTATTGACATTAAGAAGCAACAAAAGGGATGGCGAATGGGAGCACAGGACCAGGCAAAGGGAGCACAGGACCAGGAAAGGGGAGCAGTAGGTGGAGCAGAAGTGCCAGAAGCGCATGAGGAACAGAAGTGGTCACAGGAGTGGTCTGTTCTGTCGACTGCAGCACTGCGAAATCCAGCCAAAGGACACACTCTGCCACACTCTTGTCTGAGCAAGCAATGACCTCCAGCCACCCCCGTGATGTTGCGACCGAACGATGCAGCAGCAATGCAGCAGCAGCACTCTGCATGCCATGTGTGGAGTGGCGAGGTCTGGCCAGATGCGGGTCGTAGGTCCGTAGGTCACGTGGTCTCGGGTCAATGTCTGCCTCGAGACGGGCGGAATGTCAATGTTTTGACAACAAAATACAAGGGCAGGGGGCAGCAAAAACAGGGGACAAAACACAACGTAAAACATACATATGCCCCGATCTTTGAGCAGAAACCAATTGAATTTTAGCCATTTCGATGCCTGTGGAAAATGATGAGATGAGAGTTGGAAGCAAGGAAGAGAAGAGGGAAATCTAACCGAATGCTGCAAAATGGAAATGGAATAGAATATTAAAATATTATTATTATGCTATTAAATATTATTAAATAGCTGGATTATTAAACATTTAATTGAAAGAGAAAATATTCAGAGCGCAGGAATATTCAAGGAAGGAATTGTTAAATACAAGTTAAATAAATCATTTAATTACAGAAGCGAAAACCAGAAAATTAAGGGCCTCTTATATCTCTATTTATTTATTGAAAATATATATGTATGTACATATGTATGGCATGTACATACGTATTGGCTAAGGTTTCTGTGTACCGTTTATTATAGTGTCCGCTGAACGACGCTGCCCCACGTTTAAATTGTTTTTTGTTATACCCGTACTCAAAAAAGAGTTTAGGGGTATATTAGATTTGTGGTAAAAGTGGATGTGTGTAACGCAGAGAAGGAAACGTTTCCGACCCCATAAAGTATATATATTCTTGATCAGCATCAATAGCCGAGTTGATATAGCCATGTCTGTCTGTCCGTCTGTCTGTCTGTCCGTCTTGTTAAGCGCCTGGATCTCAGAGACTATAAAAGCTAGAGCAAATAAATTTTGTTTTCAGACTCATGTGATATCACACAGACTCCCCCTTCCGCCCCCACAAAGGACGAAAATCTGTGGCAGGCAAAATTTTAAAGATACGATAAACTAAAAACGCAGTATCGTAGAGATCTGAATCAGATCGGATCATAATTATAGCCAGAATAAAGAAATTAATTTTCTGTTGGTTCCTCCTCCTTCTCCAGCGCTGCTAACGCTACTGATTCTCTTTCTCGCTCGCACACTCTGCCTCGTTCAGTGCGCGAGCAACCCCTAGCGGAGGAGATGTAGAATCTAAATGGTACATGTACAATCTACATATTAGATGTATAATATACATTGTAGATGTAGATAACAGATGTAGCAAAACAATTTAATATGTAAAATTTTGTTTTTAATTCTAAAATTCTAAAAAATCATAAGCTCAAAAATGTATATACTACTGACTGAGTACGGGTACCGGCATCCCCAGAAGCGACTCACACGTTCCTTATCGTTTTTGTTGTTTTGTATATTTTTTTTGCTGGGCGGAATTTTGTAGATATTTATTTGTATGATGAATGAATGATTTGAATGCTTTGAATGGTTGAATGTTGCGGATAGCCACTC